CGCGCAATAGTAGACCTCATAGTAATGTTTGTGAATACGGGCGTAAATGTGTTATGACGGATTGTACAGCGCCCCTAGCGGAAACGTTCAAGAACTAAAATTTTCATATTTTTTTTTATGTGCTAACTAGTGAGGACGTTTTATGTACTTAAACTCACACTAAGCCAGTGGCGGCGTAGCATGGGTTGGCACCCGGGGCGATCGAAGGAGGATTGGGTTCCCTATATTTGATGGTCTACTTATAGTGGTTCACGCGCTTCATATCAGAGGTCGTAGATTCGCATCTCCACAAAATATAAACTGGTGTGTATTAAAATATCTGTTTGACCAATCATCATCATCATCATTTCAGCCACAGGACGTCCACTGCTGAACATAGGCCTCCCCCAATGATTTCCATACCGCCCGATTGGTAGCGGCCTGCATCCAGCGCCTTCCTGCTACCTTTTGACCAATAGTTCTGGATATTATGTAATGTAGGTACTTATTTGCAAAAAAAGGATTCATGTATTTATTTGCAAGAAAAAAGTATGTATTCAATTTATGTTTATTGGGAATATGGGGCTGTGGTTGAGGCCTATGTCTCAGTGTTCCATAGTCCAGAGCCCCGATTACGGTAACTTATAACGTCAACAATCCAGACACGCTTCTCGATTCTGCGATACGATTGGTCGTTCAACAGCGTACGTCAGCTGTTTTGACCAATCGTATTGCAGAATCAGAAACGCGTCTGGATTGTAGACGTTAAAAGTTACCGTAATCGGGGTGCTGTCTATGGTTTCAGTAATAAGAGAGTAAACCATCGACTTGGGTTTGATGATGCTTTAACTCGATCGTGATCGAATATTAGTCCAGTCCACGATCGATCGCAAGGCAAAAAATACTAAACTCTNTCCTGTTTGGCGAAAGATTTCTCAGGGATGCTGTTAGCTTAATGACTATTTATTCAATCTGCATCTATCAATCATTATTGAGACTAAACTGTTGCAATTTAGTTTTCTACTTTGTAGAACCGCCGGAAGATCAATGTGTGACTTTGTTGATCACTATTTATTCGGTTTGCATCTATCAATCATGATTGAGGTTTAACAACTGCAATTCTGATCTGTGATTTGTTGAACGTCGGAAGATCAATCAACAATGCTGTTATCTTGATGACTCTCTTTATTCAATCTGCATTTATTAATCATCATTGAGACTAAACTGTTGCAATTTAGTTCTTCTACTTTGTGAAACCAACGGAAGACTCGTGTGTAACTTTGTTGATCACTATTATTCAATTTGCATCTATCAATCATGATTGAGGTTTAACATGTGCAATCCTGATCCGTGATTTTTGATTGGTGGGAGATTTCTGCTGCTGTTAGTCTATTTATTCAATCTGTATCTATCAGTCTTCATTGTTTGCAAATTGCAATCCCAATCTTCTAGTTTGTTGATCAATGGAAGTGTTCTCAGTGACCTCGTTATCTTGATCTTTATTCAATTTGCATCAATCACCATTGAGCTTACAGATTGCAAGTGATATTTCACTTTGTTGAAGCACCGGCAGACCCAGTGTGACTTTGTAAGCTTGATGGCTATTTATTCAATTACGTTTATCAATCACCATTGACGTGCAATCTCCATCTACAATTGTGTTGATCGGTTGAAGATTTCTCAGTGACATTGTTAGCTGGATAGCTCTTTATTCAATCTGCCTATCAGTCATCATTTATGTGTACATAACAGATTACAATAACTGATCTTTCACTTTGTTGAAACTATCTACGAAAGACTCGAGTGTGACTTGGTGACTTTTCTGAACGCTGGAAGACACCTAGATCTGTGACTTTGTAAGCTAAAGACTTACATAATTCAATTTGCATTTTTATCAATGCAATTTGAAGAGAATTGCAGTTCAGAGATAAATTTTTTTGGCTTAGTGAATGAGGCACTTGATGTTTACTTACTTGCAATAAATAGTCAGTATTTGGATGTGTAAATATTTATTTATATGCATGTAAAATAAATGCTTTATAATTTACAATTGCCTTATGACTAGGTACTTAAAAAGTTCATCGAACACTTAAAACTTTTTGATAAAATAAACAACACGGAAATAAAATTAATAACAACGATTTTCAAGTGGACACTATCGTCAGTCATTAGGTAAATACAAAAAGTTACGGACCATCGTTACTCGTACTTTTGGTAGCTACCTAACATGAAAAAAATGATTTTTTCTCAGTGTCCTGTCTTAGAGATTGCGTAGGCAGTGGCATCTAGGCGTTAACAAATTTCAAATCACTATTCGTCTATAAAATTTTCCAGGTTCCTGTTTTCTTCTGTACAAAAGCCTTACTTTAAAATTATTTTTAATTGAATAACATTAAAAATATAAATAAGTATACAAAATCATTGTTTCCAAAAATATATAAATACTGACCATTAATCACTGACCTACTTATTGTACTTCTCAATCTTAGTTTCCAAGGTGCCAACGCCTTGAAGCTCGCTGATGATTGTATCTCCAGGCTGCAAGAACTCTGGAGGGTTCCTGAATACGCCCACGCCCCCTGGAGTGCCCGTGAGTATGATGTCGCCAGGGTATAGAGTCATTACCCTGAAACAAGCATCATCAGATTATTTAGACTCCATTGCAAGACTCTTTGCATTTACCAGAGGCAAATGGAGAGGTCTAAAGGCCGATTCACATTTCACACATATCAGTGAGGTCACAGTTCAGACACAGTACCGGCACAGTGCGAAATATTCTTTCATACAGTTTCTATTAACGCAGTGTCAGTTTCTGTCATTGTCAGTGCCGACACCACAGAGCAGCCGACACCGGCAATCACAGACGTATTCGTTGACGACGATATTTTTTGTCGATCACGGACGCCGCCGCGGCATCAAAAACAAAATAACTTACTTCATAGTTTCTGAACAAGAATACTGAAAGAGCACTCTGAAATTTTAAAATATTCAAAATATTTCACTGACGCAACACTTTAGCACTGATACTGAACTGAGCGAACACTGACGGAACTGTGGCTTCACTGATATGTGTGAATCGAGCTTAAGGTTTCACACGCTACAATCAACATCAGGTCATTTTATCTCTTTATATTCTTAATAAATTATTCTGCCACAATCATCAGTTGGAAATCTCTTTATAGAGAGCTAGCCATTATCTATATTTCTTGATTGTACTTATTCTAATGCCGGAGGACGACTCTCTAATTTACAAGAAGCAAAAGGTACGATTTGGTCTACAGCTCCAACGCTGGTCTACATGGTTCAAGCGCTTCATATCAGAGGTCGTAGATACACATGTCCACAAAATATAACACTAGCATTAAATATCTATTTGACCAATCATCATCATCATCATTTCAGCTACAGGACGTCCACTGCTGAACATAGCCTCCCCCAATGATTTCCATACGGCCCGGTTGGTAGCGGCCTGCATCCAGCGCCTTCCTGCTACCTTTTGACCAATAGTTCTGGATATTATGTAATGTACTTATTTGCAATAATTACCTTTTTAAAAAAATAAAACCGACTTCAAATGCGTGAACACAAAAAAAACTAAAAATTAAAAATATTGCGTATAAAAAAGTTCATCCCCAATTTTCCACCCTTGGGGGTTGTTTTTTCTATTATTAAATTTAAATGGGACCACCCTTGAGGTATTACCTATACGCCGAAAAAAGATTTGTTCAAATCGGTTCATAATTGGCGGAGTTATCGCGTAACAAACATAGAAAAAAAAAACATACGGGTCGAATTGAGAACCTCCTCCTTTTTTGAAGTCGGTTGAAAAAAGGATTCATGTATTTATTTACAAGAAAAAAGTATGTATTCAATTTATGTTTATTGGGACTATGGGGCTGTGGTTGAGGCCTATGAGTCAGTGTTCCATAGTCCAGTCTATGGTTTCAGTAATAAGAGAGTAAACCATCGACTTGGGTTTGATGATGCTTTAACTCGATCGTGATCGAATATTAGTCCAGTCGATCGTGGCAAGGCAAAAAATACTACATGATTGTGTACTAAACTATGCTGTTTCATTTAAGATTTCAAGAAGTATGTAAATGATAGATCACCCAGGGCTTCGTTAGTAAACAGTAGGTCTTATGTCTAATCAAGTTGGCCACCCCTGATCTAATGGGACTCGCCTCAGCTGTCGTTCCCTTCCCTTTACATTGTTGTCTATATTAGGATAGGATAAACAAAGAAAAAGAAACGTTTAATTACATAAAAAATATTTATTTCAATAACAACAAAATAAATGCTTTATAACACTGATATGTTACTAACTTATAAAAATAGAAAAAATACATAAGTATTTACATTTTACATAATATTATATTGCAAACATGAATTAACAATTATGAGGTATTTATTCGATTGGTGTGCCAGTATTTAAGATATTAATTTTATAATTATTTAAGTAACTTCCTTAAGCATAACGAATCATTATAATTATTACATTAAAGAAGCAAAACTCTTAAAACAAATAATATCTTGAAAATTAATAACATGCAATACTTCTTAATTAACAATATAAAAATTCCATTACGCAAAGATAGATCCATAGTGACCCAACTCACATTTTACGTAAATATGCACGAATAATATTATTCTGTTTAATGGCTTCAATGATTTGTATTTGAAGCACACTCCAATGTCGAGCGTTAAAAGAGACACAGGGAACAGTGGAATTTGACGTTTGCCCGGTGATAATTATTTCATTCTGTATTCTCAACTTTTACTAAAATCTATATATATAAAAGAAAGTCGTGTTAGTTACTTCGCATATAACTCAAGAACGGCTGAACCGATTTAGCTGAAAATTGTCAGGGAGGTAGTTTAGAGCCAGGAGAAGGACATAGGATACTTTTTATCCCGTTCGAAACAAAAAAAAGTCTGCTTATTTATTGCCATTAAGGCGGAACAAAGTTCGCCGGGTCAGCTAGTATCAGATAGATCACTATGTTTCTATCTTGTCATTTATTTTAAAAAAAGGTGGCAATCGACTTCTTTTAACATACAACCTAGTCGAGTTAACTGCGCATCTGGCAGCCGTGACGTCACATCGATGCTCTGCTACGGACGGTAGGAGGCGTGCGGGTGAGTGCGAGGGAGAATCGCATTTCAGCGAGATGCGCAGCTCGATAGGGTTGTACAGTCAGCGTCAAATAGTTCAGGACACCCAAAGTGGCCAAAAAGTTGACAACATAACCTTATTCCAATTGTAACAAAGACGTGTTGCGAACTTGTTGGCTACTTTGGGTGTCACAAACTATTTGACTCTGACTCTGCAGGGCGTTGATTTCAATCCTGGCCATATTTATTTAGGTGATCTATTATGACTTAAAAAAACGCGTTATCCACCAAACATAATTTAAAACGAAAGTGGAATTTTTATCGAATATTTTCCACTGCGGCACCTTCGAGATACGCGGATTGCTTGCTTATCATGTCGGATAGCCTACTTAAAGGAAGCCACGTAAAGTAGATAGTGTAAATACATAGGTATTTTTCTTTGACTAACTAAAGTTAAAGTTCGTTTTAAATTTTTTTAGAAGTAATTTTTTTACTGCCCAAGCAACTGCACTCAGGAGGATTTGATGAGTGCTGCTGACAACGCCACTCTTGTGGCGGAGTTTTGGGCTAACACTGTGTAGGTTTGTTGTCGACACGGAAAGAACAAGAAGATAAACATGGCGAGGATTGAAATCAACATCCTGTATAATCTAACAGCTCCTATGCCTACTTACAACCGCACTGATCGAATTTCACGACTCTAGTTTCCAAAGTGCCTATGCTTTGTATCTCACTGATCAGCTTGTCTCCCGGCTTGAGGAATTCCGGTGGGTTCCTGTGCATCCCAACGCCTCCTGGTGTCCCGGATAGAATGATGTCCCCGGGGTATAGAGTCATCACTCTGTGGAGGGAGGGGGAGAAAAAATAGGTAAAAAAAAGGATGAGGATGGTGAAAAAGGTGATGTATTATGGTTTTTATATCGCCTCATGCTTCATGCCGAAAGGTGCAAGATGGAGATACTTAAAAAACTCGTAACAACTATAGTTGTTGCAATTCACGAAGGCGAATGAGCTTTACATGTGTGGTGGCTCGCTACTGACCATTTTTCAAAAGTTTTAACAGACATTGCACTATCATTATGTACATGTACACGTACACACATAAGTAAAGCCATTCGTAAGTTGCAAGAACTATACTGTATGTAAACCCGTTATCGCAAATGAATGATTTATTTGATTTATGTGGTGCATTTCCACTTTAAACACCGGTCGTAACACACGCCTCCAAGTCTTTTTAACCGACTGCGCGACGTAAAAAAGGTAGTGTGTAGTGTTTATGAAATAATTATTGTAGTGCGATCTGTGATATTATAAAAACGGCTAAGTGCTTAGTCTTAAGCCCAGTACGTCAACAGACGGTGAAACGCAACAGCAACGAAACTGCAACTTTCTGATGAATGAAACTGAAAGTTTCAAACTGGTCGCGTCATGTATGGTCTCTCAACGGACGCTATGGCAGAAACTTAGATGCAAATCAAAAGCAACTAGCAGTTGCAGTTTCGTTGCAGTTGCGTTTCACCGTCTGTTCTGGGCCTTACTGGCGCATAAAGAGTTCCAACGTATCCGTACGTTCCGTATCAACGTTCGTTCAAGGTAAAATACAGGGTGGAAACGATAAGTGATTGTGAGGCCTCTCTCATGGCATGATGACGTCAGGTATCTTATCTTGTGTATCAGCTGGCAGGTGTTGCTGTTTTGCTTGACTAAGCCGTTCAGGGTACACTTGATGTCCAGGTTACACATGATGCCAAGGCACTCCTGATAGCATGATGGTACGGTAACTTCAAGAGTACTTACGAGGCCAGTCTAGCAATGACGTCAGGCATCTTGTGTATCAGCTCGCAGGTGTTTCTGTTTTGCTTGATTACGCCGTTCAGGGTACACTTGAAGTCCAGGCACTGCTCATGACATGTTTTGGTACGGTAACTTTATCAGTACTTACGAGGCCAGTCTAGCGATGACGTCAGGTATCTTGTGTATCAGCTGACAAGTGTTGCTGTTTTGCTTGACTTCAGGTTCAGGGTACACTTGATGTCCAGGCAGTCCTAATAGCATGATGGTACGGTAGCTTCAAATATACTTACGAGGCTAGTCTAGCGATGACGTCAGGTATCTTGTGTACCAGCTGACTTATTATTGCTGTTTTGCTTGACTAAGCTGTTCAGGGTACACTTGAAGTCCAGGCACTCCTCATGGCTGATGGTACGGTAACTTCTAGAATACTCACGAGGCCAGTCTAGCGATGACGTCAGGTATCTTGTGTATCAGCTGACTTATTGTTGCTGTTTTGCTTGACTAAGCCGTTCAGGGTACACTTGATGTCCAGGCACTACTTATGGCATGTTTTGTGGTAACTTCAAGAATACTCACGAGGCCAGTTTAGCAATGACGTCAGGCATCTTGTGTACCAGCTGACTTATTGTTGCTGTTTTGCTTGACTAAGCCGTTCAGGGTACACTTGATGTCCAGGTTACACATGATGCCAAGGCACTCCTCATAGCATGTTTTGTGGTAACTTCAAGAATACTCACGAGGCCAGTCTAGCGATGACGTCAGGTATCTTGTGTATCAGCTGACTTAGTGTTGCTGTTTGCTTCACTACGCCGTTGAGGGTACGATTGATGTCCAGGGTACACTTGATGTCCAGGCACTACTCATGGCATGTTTTGTGGTAACTTCAAGAATACTCACGAGGCCAGTCTAGCGATGACGTCAGGTATCTTGTGTATCAGCTGACAAGTGTTGCTGTTTTGCTTGACCACGCCGTTCAGGGTACACTTGATGTCCAAGNAAAAACGCCCCTTTCGGGAGCCCCCACCACTTAAGCACAACTCCGTCGAAGTCGAAAACTTAGGAGAGTCTTAATGGGCAACCAATGAAGCCATTAAAGCAAAAAAATCTTTTGTAGGAATTATTTCCGATTTAATCAATTTTTGTGTTTAATTCTACTGGCCTAATAGGTCTAGTTTCATTTATTTTCATATGTACACTTTAACGTGACTCACACTGTATTTTAAAAACTAGCAAAAAATTGTCTTGCGTAGTAAATGAATGACGCTTATTAGGTATCAAAAATCCCACCGCCGCTCGACTATTGTGGTGAGCCCACTCGTAACACAAGCTTATTTAGCTTACCACGAGGGGCTAATGGGACTATTAGTAATTTGGGCAATACAAATTGGTAATAATCTTTAAAAAAAAAAAAAAGGCCAGTCTAGCGATGACGACAGGTATCTTGTGTATCAGCTGGCAGGTGTTTCTGTTTTACTTGACTAAGCTGTTCAGGGTACAATTAAAGTCCAGGTACTGCTTATGGCATGATGGTACGGTAACTTCAAGAATACTCACGAGGCCAGTCTAGCGATGACGTCAGGTATCTTGTGTATCAACTGGCAGGTGTTGCTGTTTTGCTTCACCACGCTGTTCAGGGTACACTTGATGTCCAGGCACTCCTCATGGCATGTTATAAATTATAACTTTATCAATACTCACGAAGCCAGTCTAGCGATGACGTCAGGTATCTTGTGTATCAGCTGACTTAGTATTGTTGATTTGCATCACCACGCCGTTCAGGGTACACTTGATATCAGGCACTTTTCATGGTATATTATGGTACGGTAACTTCAAGAGTACTTACGAGGCAGTCTAGAAATGACGTCAGGCATCTTGTGTACCAGCTGACTTATTGTTGCTGTTTTGCTTGACTAAGCCGTTCAGGGTACACTTGATGTCCAGGTTACACGTGATGCCAAGGCACTCCTCATAGCATGTTTTGTGGTAACTTCAAGAATACTCACGAGGCCAGTCTAGCGATGACGTCAGGTATCTTGTGTATCAGCTGACTTAGTGTTGCTGTTTGCTTCACTACGCCGTTGAGGGTACGATTGATGTCCAGGGTACACTTGATGTCCAGGCACTACTCATGACATGTTTTGTGGTAACTTCAAGAATACTCACGAGGCCAGTCTAGCGATGACGTCAGGTATCTTGTGTATCAACTGGCAGGTATTGCTGTTTTGCTTCACCACGCCGTTGAGGGTACACTTGATGTCCAGGCATTGAGGGTCTTTGATCTCGTCTGCCGTGACGATCCAGGGTCCAATTGGGCAGAAGGTGTCCATGGACTGGAAAGGAAGAAAGAAGGAATTAGATGTGGCATTCAAATGTGTTGCAATTAAAATGTTGTAGGCCATTTATTAAGTGGAGCACAACCCTCCCCGTGCATTTTACGATATCTACAGGAAAAGTTATATACCACTTTGTCGGAACCACCCGGCAGGTTATCATTAAATCTCCACAGCTCATCTCATATAGTCTATTGCGAGCGAAAATAATTCGTGTCTAGCACGAGGCCCGCGAAGGTTTTATACGACAAACGAAAACCCAACCTGTTCGATATCAATACAACTTAACTGTTATCTATTGTTTCGTTTGTAGGGAGTGAATGGGTTAATTCTGAACAAATATGTTAGTGATATACATAGAATGTTTGGACATTATAATCATCGTCAGGTATAATATACTGCAGAACTCTCTCTTACTAACAAAGATAAGTAAATGGAGGATTCGGCTTATACACCTCACGCTGGGAACAGACAGATTAAGATGGTTTTGGATATTGCTGCCGCTGTAAATCTACCCACCTTGCCCAATATGAACTGGCCACTGTTCTTCTTCTTCTGCCAGTCCCGAGCGCTGATGTCCTGGGCCACGGTGTATCCCAGCACGTAATTGTAGGCGTCCTTGGCGTCGATCATGGTGCATTCCTTGCCGATGACCACCGCTAGTTCCACCTCCCAGTCTACGCTCTGGAAAAAAGGTTTTGATAAAGGTTTTTAACTGTAGTGTCGATAGAAATACATCAAGTGTAAGAACTCTTGAGTTGGAATATTTAATAATGGAGGAAACTTTATTTATTTATTTATTTATTTCTTTAATTAGGACAACCAACAAGACAGAACTTGTGGAAGTAAGTAGATATCAGGTTTTAATTTCATTGTTTCTAAATAGGCTATTTATAGGGCTTTTATAGTAATACTTTCCCATCATTCTCATACTATGAATTATGGATATAACGTCTCCGGATAAAAAGTGGCGTAAAAACCTCAAGGTCAAGACACATTTTTCAGTCTTTTGTTCATTTCAAGAAACACAATTTATGGTTAAGATTATGTAATAATTGGAAGCTAAAATAGATGCTCATCCACTTGGAACTACGAACAGCCTGTGAGTAACAAAACTATACAAGAGTTGGTAGTATTTCTAAATAAAAAATATCAGAATTAACAATAGACTCTACATACTCGTACGAAGTACATATTAGATAGAGCTATTTCACACGATATTATTGATCAGATCACGATCAATTGACTGTGATTTGATTGATTGATAATAATGATAGGGCGAGGCGAATCGTGTGTCTGAGTTGATTTTCAGCTAACCTTTATAAATATAATGTACTAGCAGTCGCCCGCGACTTCGTACCCGTTTTACACCCTTCGTGGGGGTGGACTTTCGTAAAATTCGTTAACTGTCTACGCTCTATAAGGAACTAAGTTTGTGTGTTATAGTTTCTGAGATGGAATCAGTGAGTGGTATTTCGTGGTACTTCTTTATTCTCTTGGGCATAATGTAATGATTTTAGGTAGGTACTAATAAACATTCAACATTGTTTCTAGGCGATTTTTTAAGATATTCGCATGACGTAAGATTAGCAAAAAATTACACGCTGTGACCCCACTTTTCATGTGCGAAAAAAAAAAACATAATACCTTCTCATATAGGTAGGTAAACTATGTTGTATTATAATTACAACATGGTAAAATCTCAAACATGCTTAGCGTCAGTAGTGTGGTTTACTTGCTGGGTAAAATAACGCCAGCTGGGGTTGCCGATTCGATACCCGTTGGACCAAAAGTTAATGCGATGAACATGAGTAAGTATTTAAACTTTTAGGTATTCGGAGTATGGATCACGTGCCAGGTCTTTAAAGTCACCTATGTACTGGACTGACTAAGTAAAATCAGCAGTGGGAAACCGCGTATCTGAATGCACCAGGCAGTCAGCCAACAGGGAGAGATGGCGGGAGATCGTGCGGAGAGCTGTATCCGCCTCTACAACCGACGACAACGCCTTAAAACCGCTCTGCCAAGAGCGAAACGAATAAGAAAAATAATGGTCATTGACGTGAGGGTCAAAGTATTTTTATTACATTAAAGATAATAAAATACCCGCAGATCTATATCAACCATGATGTACCTGATGCTGTTGATAACAATCTTTGCAGAATCATCAACAATGTCTACTTATTATTAAGATTAGCAACATGCAGGACACATAATATCCACAACAATCAGTATTCATGAAGCAAACCGTGCCTTCATTCTCTTCATTTCCACCTACACTATGAATTACGATCTCAAATTACTTCTGTAATTGACCCCAATTTGTGGGCAGCTTGGGTCAGAGGGATCTTCGTGAATCACGTCAGAAAATTTTGACCTCATCGTTATGGGACCGTTTAGTAGACTCTCCGAGACTCCGAGTGCATTGCACGTGTCAGTATTGTTTAGTTTTTTAATTATATGCAATTTTTCTGCAGAATTTGGGATCGAAAATGTGAGTAAATATTTTTATTTCAGGAGTAGGCCTGAAATAACCACGAAATTGAAGCTGAAACAAATGTAACTTTGCCTAGGGTGAAGAAAGATGTATCCCATCAAAAACAATACTTGTCAAAAAAACCAAGTCTCGCAACTCAGTTGTTCTACGGTAAAAAGTTGTGAGATCCATGTAATACCAAGTCCAGGCCAGGAAATCTTTAACGTTTTACATAAATTATTGACTTGGCCATCGCACTAAATAATTTAATTTACACGTGTTTTCATGCGATGGCCAAGTCAATATACAGTGTGAGTCACGTTAAAGTGTACATATGAAAATAGATGAAACTAGACCTATTTTTATCGACAAAAAAGAGGTCAAAATTTTTTTGAGATTTTTTTTAAATTTTTTATAGAATTTTTTTCTTCCAATTACTTATTGTAAAGAAAACGTAATAACTTTTAAACTAAGCGGTATATCCTGATAAAATAAAAACAGTAATAATGCTAAATAACAGGCAATACTAAAAAAATACATAAAATACACAAAAAAGGCCAACAAATAATAAAAAATAGTCAGTGAGTGACAAAATTAAGTAACTTTGACCCGTTATAATTCTTAAACTACTGGTTCAAATTGAATGAAATTTTAAATATACCGTGTCTTTACAATGCCTGCATAGCTAATGAAAATTCAGCCTTCTAGTTTTATCCACAACGAAGTTACAGGCGGTCGAAAATGGCCTGAATTGCTTCGAGAAAAGGATGGTACGGCCGTGCCGCTTTTTTGCTCGACTTGGTGGGGGCACTGCCGTGCCCCCAGATTAGTTGTTCCAGAGTAGTGATTATGAAGGAGTTTAACGAAGAAATGGGACATTTGGCGTCCCGGTCTAGAGTCAATAGGGACGTGGGAGACCTATTGGAATCGGGACACTGTCAACGGTTACGTTTCATTGTTACTGATTTATTTGGTAAGAGTACCTATAGTAAACATGGTTTCAGCCACTTGGCAACATAAATACCTAACTTTTAACTGATATATCATTTGATATTATCTCCGACAAGTAGATAAAGATTACGTAAAATGCAGTCCTTCGTTAAATACGAAGTAAATAAGATTTAAAGGCTTACAGTAAGCAAAAGTTAAAAATTGTCTTGTTACCTACATAGAAAATAAGACCTTGAAAGCTAGAACAGTGACTTTCCATTTTGTGATGGTCATAGAGTGGATTCTTGGATTCACAATATCTGCTGTTTAATTTCTACAGCCACATTACATATTTGTCGATACATTATAAGAATAAAAAAAGTAAATTCACCTGTGTGATTTCAGTCCTCAACTTCACAGCGTCATTGGGCCCAATAATCACGCTGGAGAACTTGCTGAAGATCATCGGCACCTCTGGTGGTGTTAAGTTCTGTTCTTTGCAGTGGTCCAGATAGTTCAGGCCGACGCCAATCACTTTATCCTGGTTTGTGATAGGAGCCTCCAACCTGACTCCACTTAGGGGCACCCCTTGAGGCTTTTTAGCCTTTATTCTGTAAAGTTAAGGTTGGTTTTAGGTTGGCCTAATGCTGAAGAGAAACTGTTGTAACTCGTGTCATATCAACGCAATATCTAATGAAGCCACGATATCCGAACGGTGAAGGGGTCGGACTGGCCTCGTGAACCGGGGAACGCGGGTTCGGTCCCCGCCGCCGCTCGACTATTGTGGTGAGCTCACTCATGATACAAGCATATTTAGCCTAGTACGAGGGGCTAACGGGACTATTAGTAATTTGTGCTATAACAAATTACTAATAGTGGGACAGGGACTATTCCTAAATTGCGGTACCAATTGGGTACAGGGATAGTTCCAACCTTATCTATTCAATGAAGGGAATACTACTCAAGTCATGACAAATCTATCTTACAATATTATGTTGATCTTTTTAAATAAAAATCGCAAAGAAAGGTTGATATAAGGGTGTCCTGTATGCTACTACAGGAATCCTTATTTATACTTAAACTAGCTTTCTGCCCGCGGAATTTTGTTTGCCACAGACAAACAATATCGCGCGCGTCCCTGTTTCAAAAACCGGGATTAAAACTGGACCCATTTATGCAAACAAGAACCAACCCACAGCAGGGTGGTTTCGAGAAAATGAGACTTTTGTAAAAAGAGTGCGCAAAATGCATACATAATATATAAATGAATGATTACTTGTTAATCTTATGTGGGATACTGCAGCCTATCTAGGAATATCAGATTTATAAATTTTGTAAAGTTAAAGTTAAAGTAAATCGTTAAAAACCGGTTGGTTCTTTCTTGCAAAAACATTTTTTGTTGCTTAGTTCCTTCTTGCAAAATGGATGTAAGATTTCATTGTTGTGATATATCTAAAATTAAAAGTAATTCTATAAAAAATATAGATTTTAATGCCTTTTATTAGATAGTGAATTGGAATCACGAACCCTTCAAACTAAAATCACTATTATTATCGTCTTCTACCTCAAAATCGATAGGCCCGGTAATACTGTCGATATGGTCTTCTATGTTGCTGCTTTTCAGGGTTTTGTAGAAATTGTGTGTGTCGTTTTGGTATTAGATGCAGAATACTTTTAATATTCTGTTAGTTTAGCCTCAGATATAGCTTTTCCTGTAAGCTAAAGTAAGTCCATGTCATTTTTTGTCATCACGGCCTTGCTTCTGATATTTTTCTGTATATTAACTTCTTTGTGCCGTGTGGGAACGGCCATAAAGAATAAGTACTCTTCCCTACCAGGAACAGCGTGTCATGAATGGCGTGTCGTAAGAGGCTTTTGCAGGAGGCGTCATCCAAATTTTTGACCGGAAGTCGTTATTTCCACTTTCGACATTTTTGGACCAAATCTCCGAAAGCATGGCAACACTGGAGAAATTTCTTCACCCAAGCGACACCTCTTGACAAGACACACAAACGCCTCATACAACTCGTCTTTCCCAAATGTTGCCAACTACTCGAAAAATGTCACCTTTCAGTTTTAATTTCACTTTACAAAATTCGACAACCGTCATTCAGGACTGATTTTTCGCAGGCAACCCTATACCACCGTGTTCATAATGAAATAATCTTTATTTTCATTTATATTTGATTAAATTATCAGACCGATGCAAAATGCTCTATCAATTTACCTGTTTATACCTGGCAGCCCGAGAGTTATGACTGGAAAAGAATAGGCAACCTAACGTTTGCATATTCTATTGGCTTCATACTTTCGATTGGTATGGAGTTTGTTTAATAATCAAACCGATGAAATATTTAAAAATAAAACTTTTTTTAATGATTAATTAATCATATCCTGGACTGAAATTTATTAGGCAACCCTTAAGCAATATAATTATTGACATGTTAAATTGAATATAAAATATGTTTCATCAAATAAGCATCTCGGTGAAGGTCGTTGTATAGCGGGATCTTATACTATAAGGCTGAACATGGACTGGAGAGCCGGCTTAAACTTAAGTGATTTGTTGCCAAAAAATTGTGAAAAATAATTAGTACAAAAAATATGGATGAGGATCTTTTTAAAAAAATACTTTTACTTAGATATTGTTGCTAATAACTGTAATAATTGGTATTTCAAATAATAATTTAACAGAAAATTAACAAATTGAAGCGAATATAAGCATTTATTTAAATTTAAATAGGTACAACGTACACGGTCCAAGGTACACCTGGTTTGTTGTACCTAGGACAGTTTTCCCTTTTTTTTTCTAGAAGCTAGTATGCCCAAATTTTTTAAATTATACACAAATTTTATGAATGAATTATATAGTTAATTAAATGATCTTTAAATATAACTGCACTAGACAAGTTTAACTATCACCATTATTTTTCAAAAAATCAAAATTCGAAAAACTGGCCTAAGTACAACAGGTTCCCCTACTTGATGAAATTTCATTTCATATTATTTATTAATAATTCAAAGCAAAAAAGGCTTATTACATCTGAATTGTCAAAAAATGACAGCTGTCAGAATTCCGTCGAATTAAAAATCGGACTATACATGATTGTGTACTAAACTATGCTGTTTCATTTAAGATTTCAAGAAGTATGTAAGTGGTAGATCACCCAGGGTTTCGTTAGTAAACAGTAGATCTTATGTCTAATCAAGTTGGCCACCCCTGCTGTAACTAATGGGACTCGTCTCAACTTTCGTTCCCTTTACATTGTTGTCTTTAGGACAGGATAAAAGAAAAATAAACATTTAAGTACCTACATAAAAAATATTTATTTCAATAACAACAAAATAAATGCTTTATAACTCTGATATGTTACTAACTTATAAAAATAGAAAAATACATAAGTAGGTATTTACATTTTACATAGTAAACGTTGCATAACATAAAATTAACAATGTGATGTACTTATTTATTTATTCGATTGGTGTGCCAGTATTTAATATTAACAATTAAACAAACTTTTCATAGTGCATAAATTAAGGAGTAATTGTTTAAGATATAATGAACTTAACTATTCTTAATTAAAAAATATTTCAATTCCATTTCGCAAAGATAGATCGAAAGTGACCCAACTCACATTTTAACGATTCTCCTCAATTTTCACTAAAATGTCAGTTAGGTCATTACGTTTCTGTTTTATTTGTAGTCGGCCGTTTGGTGTAGTGGTTCAGAACGGACTACTATGCCGAGAGGTCCCGGGTTCGATTCCCGGCCGGGCAGAAATTGAAATGATGAATTTTAATTTCTGTGACGGGTCTGGGTGTTTTCTATGTATAATATGTATGTATTTACAAAAAAAAAAAGTATATAAGTATGTTTATCCCGTCGTCTAGTACCCATAGTACAAGCTTTGCTTAGTTTGGGACTAGAGGCGCAGTGTAAAATGTCCAAGGATATTTATTTATTATTTATTTATTTATTTATTTTTGTAATGTTCTGACAATCAACTGCTTTTAACATACAACCTAGTCGAGTTAACTGCGCATCTGGCAGCCGTGACGTCACATCGATGCTCTGGTACGGACGGGGCGGTTGGTGTGCGGGTGAGTGCGAGGGAGAGTCGCATTCCAGCGAGATGCGCAGTTAGCTCGATTGGGTCAACTCGTACAGTCAGCGTCAAATAGTTCGTGACACCCAAAGTGGCCAAAAAGTTGACATCACTAGGGATGTTATGGATATTATGTAGTTTCGGTTATGGATACGGTTACGGATATAGGAATAGTATTATTCCGGTTTCGGTTACAGTTACGGATATCTGTGCTTTAGAATGCAATTTGCAATAGTTGTCCAACACGGTTCATTCATGGCCGCACACTTTCTATCGAATAAAAAGTAATAAAAAAAATAAAAATTGATACTAGATGGCTTTATAAAGACAAACTATACAAAAAACAATTTAAACTGCCTACATCCGAAACTATCCGAAACTTTGAATCGGTTACGGTTACGGCTTCGGATATTTTTTTATTTCGGATATCCGAAAGTTTCGGTTACGGTTACGGATATCCATAACATCCCTGGACAACACAACCTTATTCCAATTATAACAAAGACGTGTTGCGAACTTATTGGCTACTTTGGGAGTCACGAACTATTTGACGATGACTCTACAGAGTGACTTTGAAATCGTTGGCATCCTTTTAAAATAAGACTACTCATGATACATAGTACATTCCCCAAATATGAGACCAATCCAATGAGTTAAAATTTCAATATTTAAAATCTTGTAACGACAGCACATCAAACTTAATACTGTGGCATCGTATTTCGATGTATTAAGTGTTATTTTGCAACAAAATGTATAGGCTGATGTGCTGTTGACTGTACAATAGTTTTAAACTCTTTACAAGAGCACACTAATAGAAATACATAGTAAAAATAATTACAAAAATCTCATTGGATTTGTCTCATATTTAGGGAATGCACTATGTATCATGAGTTATGCACGTTTTCACCATCAATCCCTAATTTTTAAGTGACCCCTATGGTAAAAAATAACAGGAATTTAGGGGTCACTTAAAATTTTGGGATTGATGGTGAAAACGGTCTTATATTAAAAGGATGCCAAAGATACAGTGTGAGTCACGTTAAAGTGTACATATGAAAATAGATGAAACTAGACCTACTTTTATCGACAAAAAAGAGGTCAAATTTTTTTTGAGATTTTTTTTTTATTTTTTATAGAATTTTTTTTTTCCAATTATTTATTGTAAAGAAAACGTAATAACTTTTAAACTAAGCGGTATATCCTGATAAAATAAAAACAGTAATAATGCTAAATAATAGGCGATACTAAAAAAATACATAAAATACACAAAAAATGCCAACAAATAATAAAAAAATATACTTTTTGAAAAAAATCTGCTTTTAAATTCGTGTTTTTTTGGTTATTTGATTAATTTCTGCAAAAAATGCCCCTATAACAGGTGGTTTTTATTACTTTGTATTATAATTCTCTATCGTATTATCTTTGTAAAACCAAAAATCGCATGTCTCTATCCCTATCACAACATTTGCTATGATCGTTTGAACAAAAGCCTGCCACAACATTATTCTCCGCTACAGGTAGAGACAATTTTAATTTTATCTAAAAAGCTTATTTTACTTCGAAATCTTTTGTTTTTATTTGAAATATAACTTTTCTTTATCAAAATTACGAAGCGTTGAATGGCGCGCCCGGAGAGGCTTAGTTCAAACGATCATTGCAAACGTTGTGATAGGGATAGAGACATGCTATTTTTGGTTTTACGAGGGTAATACGATAGAAAATAATACAAAGTAATAAAAACTACCTGCTATAGGGGCATTTTTTGGAGAAATTTATCAAAAACCAAAAAAACACGAATTTAAAAGAAGATTTTTTTCCAAAAGTATCATATTTTATTATTTGTTGGCCTTTTTTGTGTATTTTATGTATTTTTTTAGTATCGCCTGTTATTTAGTATTATTACTGATTTTATTTTATCAGGATATACCGCTTAGTTTAAAATTTATTACGTTTTCTTTACTATAAGTAATTGGAAGAAAATAAATTTTATAAAAAATTAAAAAAAAAATCTAAAAAAATTTTTGACCTCTTCTTTGTCGATAAAAATAAGTCTAGTTTCATCTATTTTCATATGTACACTTTAACGTAACTCACACTGTATAAAAGTCACCCTGTATAATCGACATACAACGTATGCCTACTTACAACCGCACTGATCGAATTTCACGACTCTAGTTTCCAAAGTGCCAATGCTCTGTATCTCACTGATCAGCTTGTCTCCCGGCTTGAGGAATTCCGGTGGGTTCCTGTGCATCCCAACGCCTCCTGGTGTCCCGGATAGGATGATGTCCCCAGGGTATAGAGTCATCACTCTGTGGAGGGAGGGGGAGAAAATAAAATAAAAAAAAGGATGAGGATTGTGATGGTGAGAAAGATGATGATGATCCTTTATGGTTGATACTAACTTGTGCATTAACCTTTAAACACGTTTTCACCAAGCCTTTTTACCCGACTGCCTGAACGAAAAGGAGGGTAATGTAGATCAAATCAACTATTCCCAAATAATGGGTCTCGAATATGAGTTGATTCAATATTACTTAAGTAGAATTAAAGATGATTTAAAATAATTTTAAATTAATATTATGTAACTTTGTTTCTTTATTATTTTCAGTTTTTACTATTTTTGGCAGATAAGACAATTCGGCGTGGCGCGATGTATGTATTAAAAACCGACTAAGTGTGAGTCGTATTCTCACACAAAGAGTTCCGTATCAACGTTTTATTATTTACCTTTTAAAAGAACCGGGGGGAGGGTGTCAGCCTATTCTTGCTCTTTCTTATACAGTGTGAGTCACGTTAAAGTGTACATATGAAAATAGATGAAACTAGACCTATTTTTATCGACAAAAAACAGGTCAATTTTTTTTTGAGATTTTTTTTTAATTTTTTATAGAATTTTTTTTCTTCCAATTTCTTATTGTAAAGAAAGCGTAATCTATACAGTGTGTCCGGGCTTGTAGTGATCAAACTTTAAGGGCGAAATCTAGGGACAATTTTATCGATAAAAGTACTTCAAATTTGGGGCTTGACCAATTTATCGCAAAATTACAAGGATTTAAGTTTTTCATTTTTAGTTTTCACCTCTTCCTTCAAAAACAAGCGAAAGCGTGGGTAGCTTAACATTAATGAGCAAATATTTTATATCATGCGATAGCCAATAAAAATATGTATTAGTAGAAGTAGAAAACAGACACAAGTTTCATACATTTTATGGAAGTAAGAATGGATTTAATTAGAAAAATACATGACTTTTTTCACTTCTTTTTCAGTTATTTTCCAATACAAGAAAAACCAGGTCGTTAAAGTATGTTTTTTTTTTAAAAACCGTCGTTCAAAAGGAACCAAAAAGATCTCTGACTTCACCAATAAACTTATGGAAGAGTGACGAAACTTGGTTCTGCAGTCCTCTGAAGATGCTGCTCGGTATTGGCGTCTTAACAGACAGATTTCCAAGTCTTTGACTCGCGACCTACCCCAATATAATACAGACCGTATAAAAGAGGCGAATGAGCGTAATAAGGGCTCTAACTAAAGTGTTCGAATGAGATCTGTCTGTTGGCCAAAGCCTACTGACCAAGCTGAAGACCGAGGATGGCAGAGACATCTCGTCGGGGCTTGAGTTATTGAAAGAGGTTGAGAAGTTCTACGGATAATTATACACGAGTGTACATACACCTGTCACAAATCTAGCTGAAAACCCAAGAGCTAGATTGACCCGACACTATACCAAAGATATCCCGGACGTCAGCCTGTACGAGATTAGAATGGCTCTCAAACAGCTGAAAAATAACAAGGCACCGAGTGATTATGGAATCACGGCTGAGCTTCTGAAAGCAGAGGACGCCGGTACTAAAGATTCTTCAGAAGCTGTTTGATTCTGTCATCCTTGAGCAAAAAAACGCCTACGGCATGGCACAGTAATGTGGTGATACTCTTCTTCAAAAAAGGCGACAAAACCTTGTTGAAGAATTATAGACCCATCTCACTTCTGAGCCATGTCTACAAGCTGTTTTCGAGAGTCATCGAGAATCGTCTCATTCATGAGCTGTCAACGTCGTTATTTCGTTTTGAAGAACAGGCTAAGGTCATAGATCATACTATTCATACTGCTTCGTTTCATCTTTTTCGAGTAGAGTTTTTCAATGCATAAATTTATTCATCAAATTTTGTTATTATTAAGACATTTTTTATGATAAAGGTACAAACGCAACGATAAGAACGGATTTTTTATTTTTAAATAGCTTAATTTTAACACTATCAAGAACTATGCTATATGGTTCCTTCAAGACTAACCTGATTTCCACTAAGCAAACAATCTTTGGTTCTGTTTAGTTATAAAAATTTTGTAACAATTTTTGCTAAATGGAACCAACCAACATTGGTTCTAGTTTGCATAATTAGTTTAAATAAGTGCTTAGGGACCATGCTGTATAGTTCTTTATAGTTTTTAAAAGTTGGCCAAAGCGGGTTGGTTCCGCAAGTGACAGTGCTGTATCTCTGTTGTTAGTCGTTAAAAATGTACCATAATTTTTTTGAAGATAGAATGCGTTATTTGAGCGCCATCTATGTACTTAACTCAATTTTACTCAAAGTGTGGGTTCCTGTTTGCATAAATGGGTCCAACTATCCTATGTCCTTTCCCGGGACTCAAACTATCTCTGTGCCAAATTTCATTAAAATCGGTTCAGTGGTTTAGGCGTGAAAGCTAGAAGTATAGATATACATAAGAATAAAAAATAAACAAGTGTTGACTAGTGTTAATAGACTAACCAGGGGCAAATTAATTCATATCAACATAGTAATAAAAATAAGGTCAGAGAGACTGATACTTCATTAGAGCATTGTCAGTAAACCTTCTATAAAACTACATTATACAAAAACTTTAATAATCATGAATACAAGCAGGTTAATGATTTCTGTTTTGAACTTAGTAGTTCTTTAAAAAATATTGCGAAAAACCCTACCACTACTAACTAATTTAAACACTTACTTAAATGAAGCTGATGTTTATAAAGCTTACTTTTTAATTAAGATTATTTTTGGGGTAAATAAACTAAATAAAGATTTTATTAGATAGCTTAGCAAGGTAAGCAACAAAATAAGGGTTCATCAACTCTCAGACAGGTAACTTGTAAAAACATTATAATTCTTTTTATGAGCTTTTTGAACTTATTTAGATAAGTATCTATAATTTACTGCCATAAGTAAAATATAAGCTTTTTGTTATAATAAATTGTTTCATACTAGTTTGACTTACTTTTTGACTTATGGTCCTATGTCCCCTAGATGGGGCAGAGGGTTCATACTAGTTTAGTCTGTATTATTTAATGCCATTGCATGTGTTTTGCCTGAGCAATTTAATCTATGTGTGAAGCAAATTTGAATTAAACAAGAAGTTAATTCACAAAGTTATGTTGTAAACTAAAGCAAAGTTTTAACAATATTATTGTTAAAGTGATAACTTTCTTATCATCAGTTTTGCTATTTTAAATGTTTCTTACCTAATGTATCTACATTCAAATAATATCTTACTGAATTTAATAGTGATATCTTGTTTGCTACTGATAAGAATCTGAACGATCTAAGATAATGCATACTGTTGTCTATTGAATTAGCAATATGACTATAGAGTATGAAAAGCAGGTGGTTGTTTGCGATGGAATCGTTTTAATACAAATAAATGTAACCAAAACACTAGTCTCTGTCACTAATTCAAACTTAAGGATAATACTTACTGAGCAATCCTTTCTACAGCACAATCCAACTTCAGAATGTCCACCAACTTTAGAGGAAGGGATCCGTCAGCTTTATTTAGGTCTACTACGTCGTCTCCCTCCATATAACCCGCTCTAACCTCGTCTGGTTTGGTGTTGTAAGTAAACTGTACGAGCTTCATATTTCTAGCCTGTGTAACTGAAAAGCACCTGACTGCGCTGAACGGCACACAGATATTGGCGAGTTCTTTACTTATCAAACGAGTTTTTATTGACGATAACGCGCGACTAAACGCCCAAACGCTTCCAGTCATGATCAAGGTTATACCGCGTCACTATTCCTATGAATTACGTAAACAGTTTAAACTTACGTAACAGGCAGTGGCGCCGGTAAATATTTCTCAACCGGCGAGTGAGACCTTGAAATTAGCAATCTAATAAGAATTCTGTTTGTTTTTCTCGCGCTAGCACGAATTTTCAAAAAGTACGCAAATTTGACAACTTTTGACAGCCAGCTGATTTTTGTAAACAACACGCGTTCACTTTATGAAAATTCTTATCAAAATATTGAAAAGTATTTAAATAATTTAAAAACATAAAATCCATTTTGACATTAATTTATCAATACTAATAGAACTGTTACAATATTAAAGCAATGTAAGCACTTCATGAATACTTAAAAATGTTTGATAATAATTAACGGACCATGAACGCATTTACAACTGAAGTTTATTGTCGCAGCGCTTCGAGCAGTGAATGGAGAGGGTATACTAACTACGAGCTTGTTTCGAAATCTGGCCATAAAAGAGTTCAAGTGGCATATTTTTTCAATATTTAGCTACAGTAATAGTGTATAATAGTATTGTAGTAGGTCAAATAAATTACAATAAGAAAAACGGCCACCATTCCTATGAGCAGTAGTAAATGTTTGAATAATAGACGCTTTCACTAAATTCTAAAATTTCGGATTGAACTTAGTATCTAAAGAGGATTTAATTAATAAAAATAAGATGCTTCAATGGATAATTTCCTTAGCTTGGTATTTGAGTCTTGAACTACTTGATTCAAGTAAGCCTCATCAATAAAATACAGCTTTACAGAAACAAAATATTTATTACTAACTATAACTAATCAAAGCAGCATTACACATAGTAAACAATGCTACAGATTTAAACTAATAGGGATAAAATCAATTTCTCTGAATAGGTTTCTTTCTCGTAATTACAAACTCTTCTCTGGTGTGGTACGGGGCATACGGATCATCAACATAATACTTCGGTTTTCTCCAGAACTTCGTGACCATTTTGTCTAGTAAAGTGCTCTGTGTTGCATTACAGAATACATGTTGCCTAAGTCGTCTTTTCTGGGCAGGGGACTTCTTCCACAATCTCTTTTGCCTACCAACTTTAGTCCGGATCCAACCACCCCAGTGCAGTCTGAAGAAACGCTTGATAACAGATTTGGAAGACTTTCTCTTCCCTTTATTGAGACTGAACTTAGTAATACTCCTGGATGGTACTTGCACTATGTTCTTAGAAATATTCAGTACTGCCTGGTTATTCAATAGTGAACCATTGCCAATAGTTTGGCTTGATCCTAAATGCGACAGAGTTTTGCAAGTGGCAAAACTTTTGCAGTCATTGCGAATAATCCTGGCCGCATTCAAATAAGGAATCGACAGAGGCCGAATAGCTCGTACAGCTGAAAAAGAAATAAAATAACCTCCAAACAAACCGTCACAAGCAAGATATCAAATTAAAGACAGAATTAAATAATTTAACCACTGTCACTACACCACAGGATTTAACTAAGTATATTTCAGTTGAATAAAACAAGTAAATAAACAAGATAAATACCAAAAGCTGCACAACGAAACATTTTGGAAAAAGGTTATTTCATTTTTTTTTAATTGCATTTAGTGATGTGGCTTATTTGATATTTATTTAAGGAATCGAGAAAAAAAATCTGTCGATTCCCGTTTGGACTTATCATAGATTTTTTTTGTTAAAAACTTAACGGACTTCATAAAAACTGGCTGGCGATCTGCATTTTATTAAAATTCGTTGGTTTCAGAAGCACAAATAACATTTATTGAATTTATTTTCAGGAGAAATAAATTATAATCACAATCCACAGACAATGTGGATTCCCATTTCGTTTGAAGCACTATTTGACATTAACTCTGCAGTCTGTGGTAAAAATTCTTTAGTCTCTGATTTTTGACAGCCCAAGTGGAAAGAGATTCAGTGCCGAAAATGTACAAATTTACCAACCATTTAACAAATGCCCACTTGGTTTTGGTACGTATTTATGTAGTTTTATGATTTTCAGTTGTCTTGGCTGAACGCCATCAGTGTTTTTTATTCAAATTGTTACTTTGATACCTTTCACCAAGTGTCCGTGTTTCGTATGTTTTGATGGTTAACGCAGTTTATTCGCCAAAAAATCTCATGTTTTACTTGAAAACTCGTGTGTATTTGCTGTAATTTGGGAGTAGGACCGAAAACATAAACACAGGCCTTGATATTGTTGTCCCTTACATAACATTGGTCGGACGTCATATTCGTAAATAACCTAAAATTGTTTTCCAACTTTGCGGCTGATAGCTGCATTTTACAATAAATAAAACTCCCTGTGGATATAAGTAAAGTTTTTATTTTTATGACTCTTAATTTGACCTTTTCTGTAATGTTTACCATACAGGCCTTGAAATTGGGTTCAATCCAATTCTTACTAGCCTAATCTTGTTACTAACACTGTGACTTGGTATGCGACAAATGCAGATCACGAATAGTACCTATGTATGACAGCAGTATAAACTTAGCTGTACGAATAAAATAAAATTGTATTGGTAAATATTGTCAAAACTAAATAATATTAAAGTTTGATTTTGTTTATCAAATTGATTAATTAAATTACTTTCAAGTGGCTAAAATTTACATTCAAGTTTACAATATATACTTTTAGCTTCTAGACCCTGTGGTCTAGAAATAACTTCCTAGAAAGACCTAGAAAGTCTTAAGAACTGTTTTCTGGTCTCACAGACCTTGCATAAGTTTTGGTTTTGGATGGATCCCTGGGTGGGTGCAGGATGTTTTAGTTCCTGGGGCAATGAGAGGTTCATAGGTGTCATAAATGGTGGTATTATTTACTTATTTCAAATGACCCTCCTGGTGCGGTTGGGTAAAAATAATAGTCTTACATATTGTGGTTTTCCATTTTATCCCAAAGAAAGAACTTCACTTTGCATAGACCCTTCAAAAAAACTGCTATCTTTGAAAGGTCAATGCAAATTGGTTAGTATAAATAAAGTAGTCATTGGACCAAGAACCTTGATACCTACTTTGGGTATCACTGGTACTGCATATTACCTGTAACATTTCTCTCCGATCCCCAGGTCAGAAAACAAGTGGGCGACGGATCATGCGCGGCCCTAATCGTGATGCGGGCGCCGCGCCGCTTCGCGCACTACGACAACAAGTGCCCCCCCACGCCGCCGGCCCCCCCGAAGTCCCGCAAGATCCTGTGGGGCACCATCGGGGCTACGGTGCTTACGGGAGCTGCAGTTGTATATGCCAAGTATGTACAGATGAACTTATGATAGGATATGGAGTTTGATCACTCATATAACTGGAAAAGAGTCTGACTCTGCATCTGTCTTTTCTTCGTCTCTTGTTCATCCTACTAATATTATAAATGTGAAAGTTTGGATGTTTGTTACTCTTTCACGCAAAAAGTACTAAACGGATTTTGTTGAAACTTTTCAGTATTATTGTTTGTAACCCAGATTATCATATAGGCTAAAAATGCTAATCTGTGACACTAAATTTCGTGCTGGTGAAGCCGCGGGCAAAAGCTAGTATACATTATTTTGGAAATTATTATTAATTGCATTTCTCTTGGTAGTCTAGTTTTGAATAAACCTATAAGCCTTCCTAAGTAACTTCCTTCTTGCAAGCAAGTCTTGATAGACAGACAAAAATGTGACCATATTATAGTCCCCTTCAGAAGTGTGGAACTGTGGAGCCCTTGTAAGATAGTTTCATTCATGATTCTCTGATTGATTTTTAGAATGATATTTTCTATAGTTTTATGTGTATAGTCTAGTCGCACAGTCGCGACAGCAATATAATTACCCGCGAGCGATAAGGATGGGTAGCTAGGGGTCATTGGACAAAATTCTACGTGCTCACGGACCAGGCTTTAGTAAACACAGTGGTAGGGGTAATACTGGGTAAAAGTGCTTTTCAAAAGCCTACTTGCAAAAATATGAGTTTTATATTGATTTCCAGGACACTGCATAAAAAATCATCATCATCATCATCAACAGCCCTTTACAGTCCACTGCTGGACTATGAGCCTCCTCCACTATGGTGGAGGGATTTGCCATAATCTCCACGCTTGGCAGGCGGGTTGGAGATCGCAGTTTAAAAGATTGATGTTTTTCAGAGAGCGCTGCTGCCCATTCTCTGTTTGTTGTGTAGTCCCTAAGTCGCCTCTTACGACACCCGCGGGAAGAGTAGGGGTTGGTGACAAATGTATTCTAATCTGCCGTCACCACACAAAAAATCATCATGTAAATATATTGTGTTTCTAACCATTTCATCAACAATTCACAGGAGCAGTCCAGACGCCCGTAACTGGCTGGAGTCAAACGTCCCTTGGGCTAACGACTTCGTGGCACTCGTGTACCAGGAAAACACCACCTACTGGAAATTCACCGTCAACCAGTTCAATAGAGCCACCACTTGGGTCGGCAACTTTATGTTTGGAAAGGTAAGCCTTATAATAGGCTAGTTTCCTAAAAAGAAACTCATGCCCGTTTTCACCATCAATCCCTAATTTTTAAGTGACCCCTTTGGTAACAAATAACAGGAATTTTGTTTACATAGAGGGATCACTTTAAAATTAGGAATTGATGGTAAAAAAGGGCATTAGTCCGTCAATCAATCAGAAAATATGTATTGGACACATGTCCTCTTTCAAGTGTTATGAACAACCAAACTGATTTCATTATTTCCACATCTCTCCTTGGTGAAAATAGTCTTAATTGCTGTACAAAATCCGTTTGTTAGTCGTATACCTCGAAATCAAAAATTCCTTGTAGCTTTTCACCTATTCATATTTCAACGTGATAGCGTTTTTTGTTGTAGTGTGTAATATCGGTAGTATAATTTTTAACAGATTTTTACAACAATAGCAAATTTTGATGTAGCATGTATTATCAATAGCCTATTTATAAAGCCGACACAGGCAGGAAAGTAAATCTACTATGAATTTTTTAGACAATTGTAATTAGCGATCAAAAATTGTACTACAAGAATAAAAATCTATTCAGAAATTTTGATATCGCGGCGAAATGCGAATAGGTGAAAAGCTACAAGGATTTTTTGATTTCGAGGTATACGACTAAAAAACGACAAAACTATGGGAGGGTCGCGTTTTTGACAGCTCATGAAAAATAATAATGTCAGTTGACTAAGGTGTCCACTCCATTATGTTTTTTTCAATCTGTTATACTCAAAAACTAAACCAAGTCTTTTCAAATTGCAGGAGGGAGTCAGTCCACTGGACTTCAAACAACAATCTGAACAGAACATAGAAGAGGATGCAATTAAAGAACTAGCTAAGAAACCCTATCAGTGTGAGTTGTTTTAATTTTATATTCTGGCTTATAGCAGTTACTCCTAAAACTAATAAGTAAAAGTATGGAATCGCCTTCTTGTATTTTGTTCCTAGCGATCTGAAGAACTCAATGATTACAACTGTCTACAGCATTTTTGCGCACGGGTTATGCATAGCTTATTTTTATTGCTTTAATACCTAGAAATAGAATGACAACAAAAACTTGTTCTGAATTTGCTTTTATGTGTAAAAAATAGAAAAATTCATATAAATGAATGTATGAAACATGAACATAGAGATGATTTAATTTGTTGCCAAATATTTTTTTTTCTTTCTTTCTTCCATTCTTTCTAATTATTAAAACATACCAAACATCCATTTAAGATTCATTCTCACAAGAGAAAATTTAAAATAGAGTCCAAATATTTATTAAAAATGTAAAGTTCTAATCTCCTCTCATGTTCCATAGAAGATTTTTCTCATAAAAATCTAACCCTATGACGCTTTCAGTATACTGGCCTTGGTAACGCCGTCTTTCAAATCCCACTATATTTTGATGAAAGCGTGCCCCTTGTTCTTGCGAATAAGCCCCCATAATTATCTTTAAATATATCCCAATGAGAATGTGACGTGCATCTTTAGAGACATTTTACTATGAAGATGGAAAATTCAAATCACTATAACTTCTTAAAAAGCAAATATTTTCGATTTGTAATCGCACTTTTTTTATATAAATTTGCTTATATAATCAGAATATAATAAGTAAAATCCATGCGCAAAAAAAAAATTTTTTTGTTGACCGGTGTTATCTGTCTATCTATCTATGGTATCAAGTTTTATCAAATTTTCATAGTCATTTAGTTCCAAAGATCACTCGAAATGAATGGGGTGATTCCATACTTTTACTCGCGAGTGTAGTTAGTTCAAGCTCAAGCTTCTAGCAAACAGATGATTGTGGCTTCAGGCACAGCCATACTGGTTCATACCATTCGACATCTTCAGATTTTAGGTCTTGCTACTCATAAGTATGACTAAGTAGATAACAATATTGCAAAAAATGTGATAAGTTGCCAGCCTGTGATTGGTTGTATTTCAACATGTGGAGCAATCCACTTTTGATTTTTAAAAGAATGTAAATACTTCAGTTAATGGTGCGTCCAGACTGGGCGAATTTGCTCGCCCAGTCTGGACGCATCATAAGAGCTATCATTATTTAACTAATATTCATATTATTACAAATCATACTCGTAACTGCACATGCATCAATCACGTTTATGTCTGATAAGAATTATTTTATCAGTATTTTTTGGTTGCAATATCAACAAACTGTTACATACAAATATTATTTTGTCTTGAAGTAAGTAAATAAATTTATTTTAAAACATGGTACCTACTAAAATGTTTTTATACAGAATTTGTCTTAAGTTTTCAGTCAATTATTTAGGTCCTAAATCATAAATAAAACTCACTTTAGTTTTGCAAGTAGGCTTTTAAGTAGGCTTTTCAGTATTAACCCTACCACTGCTTTGGGACAATAAATGGGCCAGTGCTGTGAAGAAGCAGCGCAAGAAACTAAATCACATATTTTTTAGTTAAATATTATTAAACATTTTAGTAATTTAGTATATTAAAAGCATGGACCNTAGTACTTACTTATGAAATGTAACACTGGTCACTTTCTTTAGTTTTTCTGATGTATTTAGACACCCTTTCACAGCACAAACCGTCTTAATTAATTAAAAGTCGTCGGACGTGTTTACCAATTTTTCACTTTGACAGTTCATGTGACGTTTACGAGTAAGCCATTCTGGCTTACTAAAATCTGCCTCACCTTTCGTGCACTGACTATCTATCTAGGTTTTATTAATCTAAGTTACTAGCCCAATCTTGTTACTAACACTGTGACTTGGTATGCGACAAATGCAAATCACGTATAATATGTATGACTGCAATGTAAACTTAGCTGTAGGAATAAAATTTGTATTGGAAATGTTGCCAATTAACAAACCTAGTTTATGTTTATCAAATTAATTTATGAATAACTAAAGTATTAATTAGATTACTTGCGGTTTAGTTCCTGATGGAAAGAGGGGTGAATGTTTAAAATGTTTAAATAGTTGTTTAATTCTAAAATATTAGTCAATGGTGGTTCCCCATTCCATCCCAAAGACAGCAAAGTGAAAAATAAATTGGAAGTCTTAAGAATCTTAGGAGGTCTATACAGAATACTTATAGTACCAGCAGGGTTACTCTGAAAAACCCTAAAATGTTATCCGAAGTTTCAAATGTTGCCATCCCTCAAACGTAAACAGCGTTTCCTAGTAACCCTGCAAGCTCTTTAGGTATCGCAGGGGCTGTATATTAAAGCCCGGTCCGTGAGCACGTACAATTTGAACAATGACCCCTAGCTACCCATCCTTATCGCTCGCGCGTAATATTGATGTCGCGACTGAGCGACTGGCACCCGCAGTGAGTGTGCGAGCGCGATAGCAACATAATTACACGCGAGCAATAAGGATGGGTAGCTTGGGGTCATTGGACAAAATTCTATGTGCTCACAGACCAGACTAATCTGTAAGATTTCTGTCCGTTCCCCAGGTCAGAAAACAAGTGGGCGACGGATCATGCGCGGCCCTAATCGTGATGCGGGCGCCGCGCCGCTTCGCGCACTACGACAACAAGTGCCCCCCCACGCCGCCGGCCCCCCCGAAGTCCCACAAGATCCTGTGGGGCACCATCGGGGCCACGGTGCTTACGGGAGCTGCAGTTGTGTATGCCAAGTACGTATTGATATTGCTGAAAGCATCAGTATCAGTAAGCAGCAACTTGCATTGGTAGTTGGTTGGTATAGTCAACGTCAAATCGTTTGTGACACCCAAAGTTAGCTTACAACACATTTTTGTTGCTATTGTTGACATAAGGTTGTGTTGTCAACTTAATAATAATGGGACTTGTAAAAGTGCTTTTTAAAAGCCTACTTGCAAAAATAAAATGAGTTTATTAGAACCTTGTCATGCAAGTCTTTACAGGCAGATAATGGGGTGATACTGTACAACTATCTTTCAAGCTGTTATTCTAGTAAGAGTAGGCGCACACCGTTGATTTTTAGTTGGCCGATAGTTGTGCCCGATTTTAAATTATATGAAGAATCGGCCAAATCGAATCGGCGTAGTGTGCGCACTCCCATACATGCCCATACTGATCAACTGCCCGACTAAACTATCGGCCGACGAAAAATCAACGGTGTGCACCTACTCTAAGAAAGTTGGATGTCATGTTTCCCTGATTGATTTCTAGGATGTCAGTCTTTACAGTTTTATAGATGTTTGCTATACTATGCATTTTGTCACAGAGGATAAAACAAACATCGAAATACATTCTTACCATTTCATCAACAATTCACAGGAGCAGTCCAGACGCCCGTAATTGGCTGGAGTCAAACGTCCCTTGGGCTAACGACTTCGTGGCACTCGTGTACCAGGAAAACACCACCTACTGGAAATTCACCGTCAACCAGTTCAATAGAGCCACCACTTGGGTCGGCAACTTTATGTTTGGAAAGGTAAGACTTTGAATAGGCTAGTTTCCTAAAAAGAAACTTATGTCCGTTTTCACCATCAATCCCTAATTTTTAAGTGACCCCTTTGGTAACAAATAACAGGAATTTTGTTTACATCTATAGAGGGATCACTTAAAAATTAGGAATTGATGGTAAAAAAGGGCATTAGTCCGTCAATCAATCAAAAAATATGTATTGGACACGTGTATTTTTATTTGACAACCAAACAAGTAATTACGAAATTAAAAGTACCGCGTGACGTCACAAAGTGTTACACTTTTAAGCGCGCCTTGACGTCACGGAACACTTCTTTTGAACGTAGGCTTTATCTCTTTCAAGTGTTTTGAACAACCAATCTGATTTCATTATTTTCACATCTCTCCTTGGTGGAAATAGTCTTAATTGCTGTACAAAATCTATGGGAGGGTCGCGTTTTTGACAGCTCATGAAAAATAATAATGTCAGTTGACTAAGGTGTCCACTCCATTATGTTTTTTTTACTCAAAAACTAAACCAAGTCCTTTCAAATTGCAGGAGGGAGTCAGTCCACTGGACTTCAAACAACAATCTGAACAGAACATAGAAGAGGATGCAATTAAAGAACTAGCTAAGAAACCCTATCAGTGTGAGTTGTTTTAATTTTATATTCTGGCTTATAGCAGTTACTCCTAAAACTAATAAGTAAAAGTATGGAATCGCCTTCTTGTATTTTGTTCCTAGCGATCTGAAGAACTCAATGATTATCTGTCTATCTATCTATGGTATCAAGTTTTATCAAATTTTCATAGTCATTTAGTTCCAAAGATCACTCGAAATGAATGGGGTGATTCCATACTTTTACTCGCGAGTGTAGTTAGTTCAAGCTCAAGCTTCTAGCAAACAGCATGATTGTGGCTTCAGGCACAGCCATACTGGTTCATACCATTCGTCATCTTCAGATTTTAGGTCTTGCTACTCATAAGTATGACTAAGTAGATAACAATATTGCAAAAATGTGATAAGTTGCCAGCCTGTGATTGGTTGTATTTCAACATGTGGAGCAATCTCAGATCATAGAAGGGAATAGATGTGAAACGGGGGCGTGGCGCGAGTCTCCGCGATATGCCCAGAAACGAACATCGGCCGCGTAGCTAGGTTAGTCGCGATTCAGTCGTACTAAGGAAATGTTCTCCGATATTTTGGATAATGCGTCGTTACGTGCAATAAAACAAGTGAAACGAAGAACTACAGGAACAATGGAGTCATTTACTACATGTAAGTATTGCAAATCCATTGGTATTTTGCTTATAAATAAAAAAAACTAAACATTTTTACGAACGAATTCAGTGCCGTAACAGTTACTGCGATATCGAAATCAGTGGTGATAAAAATTCTAACACACTTTTACATTGACGATTTAGTTAGCAACCACTTTATGTCATGCTCAACTACTGCGCAATGTATTTAATTTCTTCCGATATCCACTGTCGTGTGAAAATACACAGTACGGCCGCATGTGCCGGTCGTAACATAGTGCCGTGCTCGTGTTCTAATGCGGTTTCCTATTATCGATAAATAGAAGTAAATTATAATTTTCTATTTTGTAATTTTAAATAAAAAAATGATGTGTTACTTGCGATTATAAGATTTTACAAAAAAAAAAATAACAGTAGAAGTAATTAGTAACTGTCAACTATGTAATTACTATAAGAGCTAGTTGAAAGCCTAATATAGGCATTATTTTTGATAAACATATGCGGTACGCAGATCGCCATAATTAAAAAGTAAATGCGTGATAGTAGTTAATAATAACGTATAATAATAAAAAGGTTTTCATACACAAGCATTTTGTGAAATCAGTTTCGTTCGAGCCTTGCCCCTAGCGATTTAAAGTATCGATATCTTGTCGACTCCATTTTGTCTTTGTTCTCTCACTAGTTTTCAAAGTGTGCGTCACGTCACGCGGCCATTGATTGGCCATAAGGCATGCCTTCTGGCCAATCACAGCACTTTTAAGCCGGTTGCACATGTTGTCGTAGACTCTCAGTCGCTTTGTTTTTACACAGTTGAATGTGTGTGTGGGAGCTGTGGTGGGGGAAATGTGGGGACACTGGTTCTCGTTGTAGTTACGCGCGACTTCATATCTATTCTCTTTCTATGATCTGAGGGAGCAATCCACTTTTGATTTTTAAAAGAATGTAAATACTTCAGTTAATGGTGCGTCCAGACTGGGCGAATTTGCTCGCGCGTCACGCTGGTCATCCTGCTCACTCTGCTCTTGAGTGAGCAGGATGTTGAGTTTGCCGCGCGAGCAAATTCGCCCAGTCTGGACGCACCATAAGAGCTATCATTATTTAACTAATATTCATATTATTACAAGTCATACTCGTAACTGCACATGCATCAATCACGTTTATGTCTGATAAGAATTATTTTATCAGTATTTTTTGGTTGCAATATCAACAAACTGTTACATACAAATATTATTTTGTCTTGAAGTAAGTAAATAAATTTATTTTATAGCATGGTACTAAAATTTTTTATACAGAATTTGTCTTAAGTTTTCACAGTCAATGATTTAGGTCCTAAATCATAAATAAAACTCACTTTAGTTTTGCAAGTAGGCTTTTAAACGTTTTACACGTTCCAGTATTAACCCTACCACTGCTTTGGGACAATAAATGGGTCAGTGCTGTGAAGAAGCAGCGCAAGAAACTGAATCACATATTATCTTAGTTAAATATTAAACATTTTAGTATGTAGTAGATAGTTTCATTTCATTATTGGTGTGTAACTAACAGCCATAACTTCTCGTGTTGCCTAACAGTGCCACCGCCGAAGTTTGAACCGCTTTACATAGAAGAGAAGAAGATCGAAACGCCTGAGGTTGAGACTCCCGGTTAGTATATTAACTCTTATTGCTTACACAATAAAGTCCATTGAGTTACAAACCTGTTTTATTTCATAGGTGAAGTATTGATGATGAAGAACTAAGTTATGCTTGCTTTAACAGGGCATACAATAGTCGTATGCACATTCTTACATTTTTAAGCTATTTTAGGTCAGACAAAAATGTAGGAATTATAATTTAAACTCATTGAATAATAGGTCTCGTAGCACTCTTACTAATAAAAAGGTACACACTGTTCAACTCGCGTGTAACTTTTATTAGAAAAGGGGTTTGATTAAAATTCTCTATGTTAAATGAACGTGTTTATTTAAAACTAAAATGACAATTCATTATCAGGTAAATTGACTTTTATCCACAATAATTCGACTTCTCTGACCAAGTTGACATTAACTTGTTGATAAATGTATTTTACGCTGTTATTATGCAAATACATCTAATAATTACAATTTATTTACATTTTCTTATTGTTTTTCCAGCCACCCTCATCCAAACTGAAAAGTGTGACCCCCAAACGCCTCCCCCAGTGAAGATCACAAAAGACATGGTGGAGTTAGAACACGATATGCATGAAAACACCAAGATAGCTGTCGACAGCTTCAAGGCAGCTACTAACTTCTGTACGGAGTATAACAAGGCGCTGTTTAAGGTTGGTGAATTTTAAACTTTATATTCTCAAAGTTATGAGCTATTTTTGAATGGAATATTAGGGTCATTATTATGCATGAGAACACCAAGATAGCTGTCGATAGCTTCAAGGCAGCTACCAACTTTTGTACGGAGTACAACAAGGCGCTGTTTAAGGTTGGTGGATTTTAAACTTTAATTACAAATCTTTAGGGTGATATTTGAATATGCAGGAGAACACAATTGACGACTTCAAGGCCGCTACTAATTTCTGTAGGAGCTGTTAAAGGTTGGTAGATTTTAGGCCTTATTTTGTCACTGTTAAGGGAGGTTATTGAATGGAGTAGTTGGGTCATGATATTATTATGCATGAGAACACCAAGATAGCTGTCAATAGCTTCAAGGCAGCTACTAACTTCTGTACGGAGTATAACAAGGCGCTGTTTAAGGTTGGTGGATATTAGACCTTATTTACAAATCTTTAGGGTGATATTTGAATATGCAGGAGAACACAATTGATGGTTTCAAGTTTCAAGGCCACTACTAACTTCTGTAGGAGCTGTATAAGGTTGGTAGATTTTAGACCTTATTTTGATATTGATAAGAAAAAAATTGAATCAAGCTATCTTTAAGGTGACTACTAACTTTCTGCGAAGTACAAGAAGGTGGTCTTTAAGGTTAGTAAATTTTGGATGTTATTACGATACTGCTATGTGCGATCTGTCGTGCATTCGATCTGAATCCGTCAACATACGAAAGAAAAGCTCTCTAGAGATATAGTCTGGTCTGCGAGCACGTAGAATTTTGTCCAATGACCCCAAGCTACCCATCCTTATCGCTCGCGAGTAATTATTTTGCTGTCGCGCTCGCACCCTCACTGCGGGCGCCCGTCGCACAGTCGCGTTTTCTTCCGTATGGTATTTTCTTCACGGATTCGAATAAGAACCAGTGAATTCCAGACCTTCGTTATTTTATAAAAGCTGAAAGTTTGTCAGCGCATGTTGATGTGGTTTTCTCATCAGCCAGATAGTTCTTGGGCTGAGTGTGAGTTTACATCCAACGGGAATTTTAGCTTTTGAACGTTTCCCGCTAGGGTCGCTGTACAATCCGTCATACATTTAATGCTGACCGTTCCAACCCCTTGCCAGACAAGCATTTTAGGGTAGCTGTCAAAGGTACGGTGAAAGACTAACCTAAAACTAAATCGTTACAGATCGTAGAGTCTTCGCTGGACGACCTCGACAAGAAGCACTACATGTCTGTCCACGGCTCGAAGGAGGCGCGCGACAAGGCTGCCTCCAAAGCCAAGGAGGCCGCCGCCAAGGCCAAGTGCGCTATCGGTAATATTATGTAACTATTATAAATCTATTAATAAGGCGATTATCACACTGCACCGCGGTACGCGAGATGACAGATTTAATCATTATATGCAAGTACCTCAGTTTGTATAGAAAACACGCGCGGCACACACTGACAACGCGTCTGCGCGCGGGATTCGTTATTATGTTGCCGCGGCGGAGCGCGGTGCAGTGTAATAATCGCCTAACTCAATGATTTCAGAATGTCTGCACCTCTCCTGTTCATTGCTATACTTTTTTTTATCCACAACGAGGAAGCTCTTATATCATGCAAGTATACTAAAATATACTTGCATGATTTTATTTGGTGACCCAAGAAAAATCCGGTATTTGGTTTTTGAAAGAAAAACCCGCGTTCGATAGTCTTTCTGTAACCGAACATAAGCTGCAGCCTCGATATGATCCCCTTTCGCTTTTTTCATCCAGCCAGTTCCATAAATCTTCTGCTTTTTTCATCTAGCCAGTGCGATAATCTTCTTGAGTTGGTATTTTTATTTTTTAATTTAATTTGTTTTATTCAGAAAACAAATAGCTCGCTTACAAATATATAAATTGCATAGATACAGTGTAGTTGGTCAAAGCCTATAGTTTTCACCTCTATGTAACCAAGGGGTATAAAATTAACGACCCACACCTTTTACTCTATATCTAACTGCTAGGTATTTTAATGTATAATAGAGTTAATACATAATAGCGTGCAGAGTTTATCTACATAACTCTTATTTTTATCTTCCAGACACCCTAGACCGCATGATCAAAGCAGGCGTCCAAGCGCCACCAGAAAGCGTTGCAGCCACGCTGCGTTACATCAAACAGTTCCGTGGTGACCTCACCGCGGCCGAGTCCACCTACAAGAAGGAACTGGACCAGTGTGTGCTGAGTGACAAATACTGGAACAAGGTTTGTGATGTTGTTCCGACATTAAATAGTCATTAGATGAGCTATAAAGTAAGCATGATCAAAGTGAGATGAGAGACCGCTACTGAAACAAAGTTAGCGATGTTGTTCCGACATTAAAAAGTCTCTAAACGTGCTCGTTGGCTGCTATTCTAACAAATTACGGAACGCTGCGCTACATCAAACAGTTTCGTGGTGACCTCACTGCGGCTGAAACCACCTACAAGAAGGAATTGGACCAGTGTGTGTTGAGCGACAAATACTGGAACAAGGTTTGTGATGTTGTTCCGACATTAAATAGTCCCTAGATAAGCTAAAATTTTAACTTGGTCAATGTGTGCTGAGCGGCTGATACTGGAGCAAGGTTTGTGATGTTGTTCCGACATTAAATAGTCATTAGATGAGCTATAAAGTAAGTATGATCAAAGTGGGATAAGAGACCGCTACTGGAAAAAACTTTGTGATGTTGTTCCGACATTAAAAAGTCTCTAAACGAGCTCGAACTACGAGCTTGATAGTGTCTGCTCGTTGGCTGCTATTGGTAATATTACGGAACGCTGCGCTACATCAAACAGTTTCGTGGTGACCTCACCGCGGCCGAGTCCACCTACAAGAAGGAACTGGACCAGTGTGTGCTGAGTGACAAATACTGGAACAAGGTTTGTGATGTTGTTCCGACATTAAATAGTCATTAGATGAGCTATAGAGTAAGCATGATCCAAGTGGTATGAAATACCGCTACTGGAACAAAGTTTGTGATGTTGTTCCGATATTAAATAGTCCCTAGATAAGCTAAAATGTTAACTTCGGCAGTGTGTGCTGAGTGACAAATACTGGAGCAAGGTTTATGACGTTGTTCCGATATTAAATAGTCTATAAAGTAAACATGATCAAAGTGGGATTAGAGACCGCTATTGGAACAAAGTTAGCGATGTTGTTCCGACATTAAAAAGTCTCTAAACGAGCTCGAACTACGAGCTTGATAGTGTCTGCTCGTTGGCTGCTATTGGTAATATTACGGAACGCTGCGCTATATCAATCAGTTCCGTGGTGACCTCACCGCGGCCGAGACCACCTACAAGAAGGAATTGGACCAGTGTGTGCTGAGCTACAAATACTGGAACAAGGTTTGCGATGTTGTTCCGACATTAAATAGTCATTATAGTCTTTTTCACGTAAGATGATCCGTATGACACTTCAAGGTTATCCATATTACGCATACTACATATGCAGAATATTTTTGAAAAAATATTTGAATGTTATTAGCAATACAGGGTGTTAGGTAAATGGGTATATGAGCCGACACTAGCCCATGTTAACATGGTCCTATAAATGGTATGGTGAAGTCAGAAAATTTATATCTTCATTTTAGTTATTTTAATTTTCATACAAATCGGATTTTATAATATTTATTTTGTATGAATATTTAAAAAAATAAAATAATGATATCAAATTTCTGACTTCACCATACCATTTATATGCCCATGTTAGCATGGGCTAGTGCCGGCTCATATACCCATTTACCTAACACCCTGTATAATAAAAAAAAAGTTACTACTTGCCTTGAAATATATAGTAAAATCTGAGTCTATTGATTATATTTTAATTAAATACGATGTAAAAATATTTTTTATATAATGTACGCAATGTGTGAAACGGAATAGATTTAGTGCTGGGGTATTTCTTGTATAATAAAATCGATTATTTCCGCGGTTCATTAATCGATTGCAGTGAATACTTAGTTATTAAAAACATCACAAAAATCAACTATATTTTTCGATTATTGACTTAAATAAACGCATTGAAAATAAATTAATAGTTTTTAATTTAAAGAAACAGAACCAGTACTTTTTAGAAATCGTTTTTTTGAACACGAACCATGAAATTTGAATATTATCAATAAAAAATTGTTACAATAATATTTGTAATTAAAAAAAACATGTTTTTTTTGTTAAATAACACCTATACAAAATATTTCTCTAAAAGTAGGTTTTACTAACTCTTCGAAAAAAATCGATAGATAAATCGCTATGGTTTAGTTATGTGACATCTCTAAATCTTTCAAACTCGAAACGTCATACGGATCATCTTAGGTGAAAAAGACTATAGATGAAGATATAGAGTAAGCATGATCCAAGTGGGATGAGATTACAAGAAGGAACTGGACCAGTGTGTGCTGAGCGATAAATACTGGAACAAGGTTTGTGATGTTGTTCCGACATTAAATAGTCATCAGATGAGCTATAGAGTAAGCAAGATCACAATGGGATGAGAGACCGCTACTGGAACAAACTTTGTGATGTTGTTCCGACATTAA